GCCCTAACCCATCGCGATTTCGGCAACATTTCATTTTCGATTTGCCCAATCTCATGTCGACCGTCATAGCCCTAAGAGAGCATTAGTCGACGTGGATTTTCTGAAAATTTGTCATCAACTGCTGGCTCAATTTCTCCTTTCATGTCAGAAGCCAATTTTCTATAAACATTCAAAAGGCAAAGCCCGTCCAACCTGGATTCAGTCATCTTCGATGTTGTCCGTGTTTTAATTCGTCTCAAGGTGTTCTTAGATTCAGTATTCCGACCGCAAGCCGTTCCCATGGTGCGGAAGGTTCGTGTCTTGGCGAATACCTAGCGGCCACGAAATAACAATGAAATTTATAATATTATACTTAAATACTCTTTTTCATCAGAATAAATTGAAAACTCAATCAATACCAATTAATTCATTGAAATATGTTATTTGGTCAAGCGCACCACGAAAATTAGTGAATTTAATAAGATAAAATGAAGTACATCTTCACTAAAGCTCTCCGTGGCCATTTATTTTGTCGCCGAGAATCAAATAGATTACACGACATTTGAAAAAAGGCAAAAAGGAGGGAAAATTGAAAAGGGGGGGTTGAGATGGGAAGTTGGTGTCCGAGTGGATCGAGGTCACGATAGCCCAAGTAGGAGACTAGCGGCGTATCTAGCCGAAGATCGTGGGTTCGAATCCCGCTCGTGACACTGACTTTTTTATCTATTAAAACCTTAATTAATAACATAAACTGGCAAAATTAAAAATTAAAATAATTATTATTAATTATTAATCATTAAAATACATATATGAAGTGAAACAGAAACATAATAAAATAAGTTAACTAAAGTTTAAAAAACGGGAAGTGACATTTATCTGAATTTAATAGTATATGAAAAATTGAAAAGATACAGGAGATAAAGAAGAAATTATTTACACTATCAATGGACCATTCGAATGAAATTCTCCAATCGTAGCATGCAAAATAAGTGACCGGAGGTGGGACCGACCTGTCGGCTATGAAATAATTTCATCCCTTGAACGGGTTTCGACCTCAAAATAGTGGAACCTGACTTCAACAAACAAAAGGCATTGAGACAGAAAATTCGTTATTTCAAGGAAATTGTAATAATAGAGTCAACATCTTTCAGCAGTGGAATCTTTTTAGTGGACTTTTTAGACGTGGTTATATTTTAAAGGCGGCAGTTTCCCCATCAATTTCAAAAGCCAACGAAGTTCGAAGAAATTTTGGCTGTTAGTTTTTTCAAACAACTTTTTATCGTTAATATATCTTATGAAAGCTTTATACAAAACGAAGCGGTTAGAATTAGAAACTTCTTGCCGATCGTTTTGGTGCTTTGATGCTTTAATTTTGCCAGGCTGGCCAATCAATTGTGATTCCCGAGAAGAACTATCAATCAGAGGCGCTGAAAACTCAAAGAACATATTATCGTCAGAAAAAAAATGGATTGACAAAAAGCAAATTCTAATCGCATTAAATTTTAATACAGATGAGATCAAAAATATTATTATTTTTATAAATTTATTTAGAAATAGTGAGATGCGGTCTGGTGTGATGTAGGTTTCAGAAAAACATTTTCTTTATCGTGCCAACGTTTCGATCTTTATTGAGATCATCTTCAGGGCTTGGGATTTACAAAAATTGTTTAAATTTAACAAATACATGTAGGATGTGGAAAAAAGTTAATTTATACAATGCAAAAAATATATTTACAGACCGCATCTCACGATTTTTAAATAATATCGATTAACGGTCACTAATCACCACACTTTTGTATAAATAGTAGCCAAAACTGTAATTTACAAAGAAAGTGCTAATGTTGTATATTTCTAATAATGAATGAACACCCATTATTTTATAATTCAATAAATTTAAACGTGTAAAAATATGTTAAATAAAATCATTTTTTTTATTTTAGAACAACATAAGAACTTATGAAGTTATGAAGGTGTATTTACTTTAATTATTATTAATTAATAGCGTTTTTAAGGTTCTTTGATAACCAATTTCTTGAAATATATATTCCAGATTTACGGTTGTTTTCTTAGATTGCGGGGAGAGTAATTATTTTATAATCCCACCCAGTACGATGCAAAACCTACATGAATTTCAATTTTCTCTTGCAGCTCCCATGGAAAAAGTAATTTCTAGTTGACGCGAGTAATTAAAAGATGATCTACTGTGAGCAGTGCCCGTTTCAATTATAAATTGCAGAGGGTTGGAGTGTATAAGAAAAAAAACCGGTCCCGGGGAGGGACTCAACGGGCTGAAATAAAAAGAAAACGTGGTGGGATATCAATTCTGAATTAGGGCCGAAGTGATACCGCTCCGAGAAAACTTCCAAGGCGGACTTTTTCTCCCTTCTTCCTCGGTCACTAACGATTTATGTCCTTTTCATTTTAACGCGGCGATTCTTGGAAAAATAAATTAAAAGATATACCCCTCTATTGACGTGCTTGGGCAATTCGAAAACTTCGGCTCAATTTAGGCATCCCGCTTGTTTTATTTAAATTACACTTTAACGAGCAGAACGACTTATTCAGAAAGCAATTGATGATAAATCCTGGGAAAATTTATTTTTCATATTAGGCAAATCTTTCTAAAGCTAAGAACGATTAGCACATGTGCATGTACAAAAAATTACACCATATTTATATTATTTCGCAATGTGTTGTTTAGAAAGTGACGTAACCTTCAAACTATAAAGTTTTATGTTTTACTCGTGATTTATAACTAATCTAATTGAGGACCAATTTGGTATGCAATATTGCACCCCATCTCACACTACACCCTCACGCTAATAAATTCATTCAATCTCATCATACACTAAAATAAGCAGACCTTACCTTAAGGCGGCTCCAGACATGCGGTATTGAATGCCGATTGCCGCCGAATATTTGCCAAGTCTCTAGATGCTCGTCTTGGCATTCGCGAAGCAGCGTGCCTACGTATACACATATGCGGATTTTGTATAACCTCCAAGTTGTTGCGGAAACAGGGAATACGTATTTTCCAAATTCCTTGGTAGTCCTCAACTTAAAACAAATCGTGATGAACGAAAGGAAACTGTCATTGCTGCAGCAGTGGTTACTATTTTGTGCAGTGGCTACAAACTAATTGAAAAAATACATTTAATTATATTTTTATATTTTTAATTATTGCTTTATTTGTAAAACAATTTATGATTTGTAAGAGATGCTTTCCAAATTAATGTTTCTGTTTCGTAAGCATCGAGGAACTCCAAAACTGTTGCATTGGGTCAATCCATTCTTAATAAGAAAAACAATTGTTATTCTATAAATTAAAACATCTATACTAGTTAGCAACCGTTTATTAATGAAAAATAAATAGAAGAATACGCTTACTGTTGATTTTGATAACAGTTGATTGTAGGTTAAAGGTATGTACAGTTACAGTTGATTCCCAAATGTGTGGATGGTTTGAGTGCGCTTACTTCACGAATATTCGTGCCCTTTGAAGCGGACAAGTAAACCGACAAAAAGCCGAGCATGGCGAGCACCGGATGTTGTTATTCGGCGAATAGCCGAGCGTACATCCACACTAGACGGGATTCGGCGAATACCGCATGTCTGGTGCCGCCTTTAGAAGGTAACACAAATACTCCGTGCTGCTCTAGCACAGTTCTCTTATCAGGTGGCATTCCTACACTCTCTCTACATGGAACTGTGATAACCCAGAGACGAGTTCCACAGACAGCCTTCTCCGGGGGACCGGGGCATATCACCCTGTTGCCCCCTCCCGGCCTGTACGGCCAATGGAGAACCGAGCCCTCGGGAGTTGGAGAAAGGGATTTAGGCCAAAAATAAGGCCAGGTCCCTGAACAACTGAACACACTTCTCTTTGGCTTTTGTGATCGGAGGACCCTTGTCTAGAAACCAAGAGACCATCTCTGCACGGCCACTCCAGGTTCACCTTGGCCCCCAGAAAAGTACGAAGCATCTTTTCACATCTCCAATATTTCGGAATTACCCTTTACATATGTATATATTAATGTTACATTAATAATAAATAATAAGAAGAACTCTTGTGTTTTGGCTTGTGCCAATATTCGAAATTCCTTATACTCATATTTTGCTTTCCGACTTTCGAAACGATAACACATAAACATTTGATTAAGTGGGACACATCGAGCAATGTACATGCGGACAAAAACGTGGGCTATGGTTCGAACGTAAGGGTCCGCGTGTCAACCACACATGGCCTATTCTTAATCGGGTGAGGATCTCTTCTAAGATTCAGATCCTCCGAGGGCCACCTTATTGCTGTGCTCTTGATACATAGTTTTCTACATAGTACATTATGTTTTACTTTTTTTAACATACTCTTTACATTTGAACATACCCGGTTTTTAATTTTTTTTTTTTAATGTAGGATTCTTTTGTTAATTCCACCTTTCACGAATAAATAAGCATAAATATTAAAACATGGGCGTCGAATATCATTCCATAATCATCTAATCCGTTACCACTCGAATTTTTTTCAGAAGTTTTAAAAAAATTATTTAAAAAAAAACCAATGTTCCTTCTTATATATAGTTCTAATTAATTAATTTTGTTTTAGTAGTCAGAAAAAGTTCGTCCGGCAATTTTTTTTCACATAAAACTCAAAGCGTTTTTCTCACATTGTATATACACTCGCAGTATTTATACTCATCAAGGCCGAGAGGTTTGTATTGTTGTCAAAGGTTGATCTGTCATTAAACCAGTGTGTGATAAGTAAATGATAAATTATGTACAAAGTTTCGAGATTCAAATAATATTACATTGGATCGTGAGTAAAAATTGTTCACAATTATTATAAACTGTGTACATCGTAAGCTTTTGTTGATGCATGACGATCTCAACAAAACTATTACAGAAATCAAAGTTCTAAAGAACCTGAACTTGTGCCTTCGTTCAGAGTATTCATACTTTCTTTCAACTTTTATTAAAATAGTTTGCACAGGTGTTGTAAAGATCATTATCTGTATGTTTTGCAGGCGAACAGCACGTTTGTCCATGGTCCGAACGTGTCGTACATCGGCCGAGAAGGGCTTGTCGAGACGACGCTGGATCTGATGTTTCCCGTCGAACGAAGGCACTTCCGCCGAGGTGATCTGAAGCTCAAATGCCTGGCGAGCATCGCCACAGTTTACTGGCACTCGAACGAAGAGAGCGTCGAAGGCGACCGGCCCCAACGACCTCCAGTTCTAGAAGTAAAGGACAACCAACCCCACTCTTCGAGAGCCGACATGGTCCAAGGTAATTATAAACAAATTTTTACATTATACATCTTCTTTCTTCATTCTAGCATTAATATTTATGTGCTATCAGTTTTGCTCGGCTGGCCAAAAGCGGGGAACACACTTACCCGATGCAATGCTACGCGACGCCACCCGATGCTACCCGACGCAAATCCAAAGTCCAAATTTCCATAATGTTGTATTACCCCCGTGCACATCTGCCCAATGCCACCCTACACCCTACACGCCTGCGACCCTACTCTACGCTATGCGATCCCCACGAGTCCAGATTTTAGCATCGTGTACCGTTGAAGACAAAAGAACCAGACACTCATATTTTTATTTAAAATTACATGTATTATGGTCGCTATATTAATTACAACATACTTATTTTAATATAAACCAAATTAAGCGAAATCAAAATTTCATGAGTTTTTGTAAGAATTATTTAATTATGATGGTTAGGCAGAAAATTTATCGAAACTCCGGAATAACGAATAATATTCAAATTAAAAATAAATGGAATTATGACGGAGACCGAACCGCTGTTTTGTATTTTGGTTTAAACTTATTATTAGTAAATCCATTACAGTTCGTGGTCCGATTGATCAATTAACATTTTTCAATTAATTAATATTTATGAAAGGTATTGGACAGCGTCACGAGCGGGATTCGAATCCAGGATCTTCGGCTAGATACGCCACTGCTCTACCACTTGAGCTATCGTGACTTGGATCCACTCGGCCACTAACTTCCCATGACAACCCCACGTTTTCAATTTTTCCTCCTTTTTGCCATTTTTCAACATCCCAACTAAACACCTAAAAACTAAAAATGGCAAAAAGGAGGAAAAATTCAAAAGGTGAGGTTGAGGTGGGAAGTTAGTGTCCGAGTGGATCGAGGTCACGATAGCTTAAGTGGTAGAGCAGCGGCGTATCTAGCCGAAGATGGTGGGTTTTAATCCCGCTCGTGACCCTGACTTTTTATTTCAACTAAAACCCTTAATTATTTGAAAAATATTAATTGGTCAAGCAGACCACGAAAACTAGAGAATTTAATAAGTGTAAATGAAGTATACCTTCACTAAAGCTCTCCGTCGCCATTTCGTTTGTCGCCGAGAATCAAATAGATTACACGACATTTGAAATATTGCAAAAATGAGGGAAAATTTGAGAGGTGAGGTTGAGATGGGAAGTTAGTGTCCGAGTGGATCGAGGTCACGATAGCTCAAGTGGTAAAGCAGCGGCGTATTTAGCCGAGGGTCGTTGGTTCGAATCCCGCTCGTGACGCTGACCAACACCTTTCATAAATATTAATTAATTGAAAAATGTTAATTGGTCAATCGGACCACGAACTGTAATGGATTTACTAATAATAAGTTAAACCAAAAAACAAAACAGCGGTTCGGTCTCCGTCATAATTCCATTTATTTTTAATCTGAATATTGAGCGGAGTATTAATGAAAAACTCATTTCAATATGTCAATTACTGGTTTGACAGGTCGTTTTTTGTAAATATAAAAAAGTTCAATAATCAAATATAGTATATATAACAATATTAAAGTTGAAACTGACACAATTAAGATTTTCTGAGATAGAAAATAAGTTTTATTCTCTGAATAAATTAAAATAGAAATATCCAATTTAGGTTGTCCTTTTTAGATGGCTCGCTGAATTTCTCTTGAACCAGTGACGCCTTATACATCCTGACACATCGTTTAAAAAAAAATAGTACGACGAAAACAATGGTGCAATAGGATTTTAAATTGGTCACAAAATGACCAAGTTATGGCAAAAGTTTGAACAAACGGATTTCGTTTATTTCGTTGTTAATTCCAATAATTTACTTCTTCACTAAAGTAAATATTAATTGCCTTTATTGTTTACATTCTGCCACTGTTTGTCAAACTCGCATTGTGAGTGCAAATCTTTATTTCTGGAAGTAAATAAATTTTACATTTTAATAGTACCTATTCGTTACGTTCAGGGATAGGTAAAAAAGCTCTAAAGTTGGGTCCTCATTCAACTCAACGACCGCCAAAAAAATCATCCTTATGAAGTTTGCGCGACACTTCTTTGCCGAAAGAGAAACGAATCTTTTCTGGATAGAATTGTTACATGTGATGAAAATAGGATTCTCCACGATAACAACAGACGTTGTGGACAGTCACCCGACAAAGGAGAAGTAGCACCAGCTCCCATACCATTATAAAAAAAGATGGTGAATCTTTGGTGGGCTTTATTTTTGCTGATTTATAAAGATTCTTGAATCACGGCGAAACAATCAATATTCTCAACTTGAATTATTTTCAGGAATTGATATTATTATCTTTGGTCAATCTGAAAAGGCCGATTCTTTTACGCGGCAATGCTCGGCCCCATGTCCCACATATGACAGCATGAAAACGGTTCGATGTTGGTTATGATGTTCTGCCTCACCCTCCCTATTCTCCAGGCCTTTCGCCAATCGACTACCATTTTTTCACATACCTGAACAATGTTTTACAACATAAAAAAATAGTTAGAAAAATCGTTTACGGAATTTGTTAACAATAAAGACTCAAAATTCTACTCAGAGGGTATAGAGATGTCTCCTAATTAAAACAATAATTCCTAAAATTAAATATAATACATTGCCTGATTATTTTTGTATTCCCAAAATTTGAAAAGATCACAAATAGTTAGATTTAATTCTGTTTGAAATTTTTATTTCAGAGCTATAGTTTAATGGCTGAGGAGAAAGGCGAAATAGAATGTATTGTTATAAAATGTCGTGTGACGGTCATTATTATTCCTCGCCTAGTTTTAAATATTGCACCTCTTATCTCCAGGGTCCTACAGTTCTATCCCCAAGGGTGGGTGAGGATAAAATTTCTTTTTCACACCCGTTCTTTCAAAACGACCTTGTTCAGGTTCGTTCTCTTCAAAAAAGAAGTGTGTCATCGCGAGAAAAATATTAAATTCGTAGATTTTTTAATAAAACTTACTTGATTACCGTAAAAAGAACGATGTTTAGAAAAGTGAAAAAGTGAGAAAACGACTTTAACAAATGACCTGTGAACCCTTTGCAATCGATATAAGACATGGAAAACGATGGTGAAGGTTTAAAACTTTTCCAGTCTTAGTTGGAAGACCACCTCTACAACAATTTCTCATACAATGAAAGCACTGAGGTAGTAATAATAATAATATTCATGCTGAACCGACATTAACCTCTATTTGGATCCATCTGCACACGTGGATAAGTTGTGTTAAGACACGTCATCTTCAGAGAGGAACCTGTGAATGAGGTAGGGAAGAATAATACGAGAGGGTGGGCGGGAGTGAGAGAGAGAGAGAGAGAGAGAGAGAGAGAGAGAGAGAGAGAGAGAGAGAGAGAGAAGAGAGAGAGATCTATCATCATCTATTTTTGAAATTAAGCTAATATTAAATTGGCCGGCGATATTAATCATTTACAATACATGAGCCCCTTATTAATATTTGACAAATTTTAAGAAGGCCGTTTTTTCTTTGAGTTTTCTCAAGATTTTCGTCTTTTAAATTTATATTACGTTATGAAAATTAAATATTTTTTCTCATAATTGGCAAATAATTCAGTAGTTTGAATTAATTAATACACTAGACTAAAAAAAGATAAAGGAAATTATGAGATAGGAGAATATTATTGTGGTTGTAATATACTCATTCCGCTGTGATTATAACATTATTAATCTAAGAAAATGGAATGCTCACGTTGATATTCTTTTGTCAGACGACAGATTAAATGCGCTTTCAATTCACAATAAAATAAACATTTTCTTCAAGAAATACGAAGGCTTGCAACCATTTACCTATTTTGTTCATTTCGGGCATGCAACATTCGTAAATATTTTTATTTCCACCATAGCCCATATCTTCTTCCTCCTCAGGTGTTGCAGAAAATGTCAACATAGGAAAATTTATCGTGCACCTTCCATTATCTTGGGAATAAAACTCCCTTAGCTCTCAACTTTTTCCGTAGAAGATTTAAAAGATTGTTAACCCTCAACTGTTGTTCGAATTTAGCTGGGAGCGTAATTCATTTCAACACATATAAATGCCCGCTTCTTTGCTTTTTTAAAGTTTTTAATTTAATGCAATAGGTACAAAGTTATGTGACAGTTTATTTCAAGAAAATTAAATACGTTCATGTACTTCCTGACCTCACGGAAATGACAAACCGATCGCTAATGCATTTGCAACAATAAAGCAAAACTAAAAGCTAAAGTATCTTATAGTCAATAATAAAATAATAAATGTACACAAATTATACTATTGCCACTTGTCCAAAAGACCGTTAACAGGCTTTTTCCTAAGGACCGTACACTCCTTGTTTTTACATCCACCGAAGTTTATTGTATCTACTGCAGTATATATTGATGTAAACGTCGATTTTTAATGATTTTAGAGGTGAAGGAGAATTTTAGCCCGAACAAAATGTTTAGAAAGATGAAGTCTCAAGTAGTATTTTTTATCTACGCATTTCTTTCGCAGTACGTAATTGTATTTTTAAGAATAAAACAATTTATTTTATTAAACCATTTCTATTTTCATTTTTAAATAGTTATGAATACAAAATAAATATACAATGTATGCTTTTGAAACATTATATGCAAAAAAACCTTCAATTACAAGAAAATATTAACGTTCTTAAGGACTACTGTGATCAATAGGGCTTGAATGTGCTTCTTTAAATATGAATTTAGTATAGAACTTTAGTATAGAAATATATCTTATTAGGGCCACACATCCGGGCTAATCACGAATAATTTTTTAATATATGTTTTCAAAATCCTGAGGAAGACGTTAAATACTGCCGAAAGCTCGACATTGGAAAACAAGTTGGCCACCTTCATGGCCTCATCCTTGATCTCTCATATTCATAATTTATCATCAAAGGCCGATACTATACACAACGGTAGAGAAGTATATTTGGAATTGTCAAGAATCTATGATATGTCTATATGAATAGCAAATTATGAAAAATTGTTTTTTTATACCCTGAAGAATACGATAAATATATTGTCGAAAACTAGGTGTTGATACTAAAACCATGTTTGTTTTTCTAAACACAACCGTAATCCAGGAGGCTATTATATATGTTTTTAGTTTAACTATTTCTTCAATATATTAATTCTTCGTCAATTCAATATCATTTAATTTTGAATTAAAAATAAGATTATAGTGTAAATCTTGTTTATAATATAGCGTCGCGCTATCCTTATGTTAATTTTCTTCTGTATCCTTCTACTTTTTATTACTTATTATTGTTATACCAAAATCATGTATCAGTCTCCAGCTGAAAGATATCCAAGCAGTATATACTTTTGTAAAGCTT